GACTAGTGGAACAGAATAGAAAGCCCAGAAATAAGCCCAGGTCTCTATGGGCATCTAATATTTGACAAAGGGGGCAGAAGCATAAAATGGAGCCATGATAGCCTCTTCAACAAATGGTGTTGGGAGAGCTGGACGGCTACATGCAAAAAATTGAAACTGGATCATCAGCTGACACCATAAACAAAAATAAACTCAAGATGGATAAAAGACTTAAATATAAGTCACAACACCATCAAAGTCCTAGAGGAGAACATTGGCAGGAAACTCTCAGATAACCCACACAGCAATTTTTTCACTGATATGTCTCCTAAAGTAAGGGACATAAAGGAAAGAATAAACGAGTGGGACCTCATCAAAATAAAGAAGTTTCTGCACGGCAAAAGAAAACATCAGCAAAATGAAAAGGGAGCCAACCCTATGGGAAAATATATTCGCTAATGATACATCAGATAGAGGTTTGACCTCCAAGATATATAAAGAACTCACTCGACTCCACTCCAAGAAGACAAACGATCCAATCAAAAAATGGGCAAAGGACCTGGGCAGACACTTTTCCAAGGAGGAGATACAGAGGGCCCAGAGGCATTTGAAAGGATGCTCAGGATCACTAGCCATCAGAGAAATGCAGATCAAATCCACCATGAGGTACCACCTCACACCGGTCAGAATGGCCATCATAAACAGATCCACAAACAACAGGTGCTGGCGAGGCTGTGGTGAAAAGGGAACCCTAGTCCGCTGTTGGTGGGAATGCAGACTGGTGCAGTCACTGTGGAAGGCGGTGTGGAGTTTCCTCAAAAAGCTGAAAATGGAACTGCCTTTTGATCCAGTGATTCCCCTGCTGGGACTATACCCTAAGAACACCAAAACGCCAATACAAAAGAATCTATGCACCCCAATGTTCATAGCAGCACAATTGACAATAGCCAAGTGTTGGAAGCAACCTAAGTGTCCATCAGTAGATGATTGGATCAAAAAATCATGGTACATATACACAATGGAATACTACGCAGCAGAAAGGAAAAGAGAACTACTGAACTTCGCGACAGCATGGATGGAACTGGAGAGCATCATGCTAAGCGAAATAAGCCAGGGGGCGAAAGACAAATACCATATAATCTCACCTATAAGCGGAACCTAACCAACAATACAAAGATGCAAGGAAAATATGACCAGCAACACTGAAAGGAAAAGAAATCAACAGAGACAAGAGGGAAGGAGGGAGGGGCGGGCAGGGAAAGGGAAGGGAAGCGGAAAGTCAAGGAACATATAGCAAGGACTCATGGACAAAACCAAAGGGGAAGAGCTGAGGGAGGGAAGGAGGGAGGGGGCAAGGGAAAGTGGTGGGGGGAGGCAGAGACAAATGTATTTAAAAATAAAGAAAGAAAGAAAGAAAAAAAAAAAGATTCATAGAGAGCAGGCTGAGAGCTCCGAGTAGGGGAGTGAAGGGATGGAGCAAAAGGAAAAAGGACTCATGAACGTGGACAACAATGTGGTGACTGTGGAGGTGGAGGGTGGGTATAGGAGGCATAAATTGTAATGGAAAAAATATGATAAAAATATTAAGATTGGAAAACAGCAAAAGTACTTTGCTTTAAGGAGGCAAAAGAACCATGAAACGAATGTCTCTCTTTGAGCCGTAGTTAAAACAATGGTCAAAGCACTAACAACAAGTGAAGAGAGGCAACTGTGAGAATTTGTGCTTGGAATTTCCTCTGAAAGTTGTATATGTTTCCCCCTTTTTCTCTTTTTTGATGGTAGTCAATGATTAAGACTTTGTTTATGTGGTATAACACTTCCTGCACAGGTGTATCTTGAAATTTAGCAAGAAACTTAGGGAAGAGAATATAAATTTACAATTTGTTTTACTGTTGGTTGTGTCACAGCTCAGATTTTAAGTTTTTCCTCAAAGAGAACAATGCAAGTGTAAGTCGTATTATAAGAATCACTTAAAAAAAATGTTGCTAAGAGAAATGTCAGAGATTGTACTACCTATGTTTTCTTCTAGGAGTTTTATGGTTTTCAGTTTAAACCATTTAAATTTTTAATCCATTTTGCATTTATTCATATATATAGTGTAAGAAGGTGGTTGAATTTCTTTTTTTTCATGTATCTGTACAATTTTGCCAACACCATTTATTAAGTAAACTGTTTAACCCATTGTATGTTTTTCCTTCCTTTATCATATATGGCATCTAAAGAACAAAATAAAAAACAAATCAAAACAGAAAAAAAAGTATGAAGAAGTATAAAAAACTTTTGCATGTGCACCATAAGTATATTATTTCCTACTTACCCCCACCCACAGATGCATGCATGTGCATGCACACGCACCCTTTTAAAGTTCCTACAATGGTCAGCTTAAAAGCTACCTCTTCCATCGAACTTTCTATAAATAATTCTATTATTTTTATATTTCTATTATTTCTACATAGATATGTAGTTATATATTCTTTCCCCAAAAATTCTATAGCATTTCCAGTCTATAAGAGGAAACAATTATTTTGATCACTGCTTTTTTTTTTTTGTGACTATTTTGTTTTAGCTTTTATCTTACATTACAGCTAACGTTTACCTAACTTAATTTTAAACTTTCATAGTCTCAGGTTAACAGTAGGCAATCAATCAATACTAGTAGTTTTTGCTGTTATTGATGAGGAGAAGGAGGATGAGGATCCCAGCCAGGGACTGACAAGCTAAGATCATTTCTTATTTGATGGTGACACAGGTCCTTATAAAAAATTAGCACTTTCTCTCTTGGAAATCCTTTGTAGTTTTGTTAATTTGAGTTTGCCTCTGGCTAGAATTTTCTTTTTTCCTTTCAATTTAAGGCATTCTCTCTTCTAAACATTGTGAGTTCCCTTTTGCCAGGTTTTTCTCTCTTTTTTCCCCCTTCTCTTTCTCTATAAATATCTTTTAATGCCTTTATCCCTCAATTATACACTATCATTCCTTTCAACAATGTAGAGGATGATTTTTTTTTCTTTGTTAATGACTAACACTACTAAATTTAAACAATGCTTCTTGAAATCCCATTGACTAGCAAAGGTTTGTTTTTCTCCAGAAACATGAAACAATATGTCATTTATAACTTATATTTGCTAAAATGTGAAAGTTTCATCTTTGAAATTTACCTCAGATTTTATTTTTATAGTTATATAGCCAATTTCCTTATACCACTTAAAAATCACAATTCAAAAACCAAAGTGTGTTTACTAAATTTTAATATTGATCTATATATTTATTGTTGCTAAATATTAATAATTAGGATTCAAATAAAGCATCTCTTTAAGTTCATTTTAAACTGTGTGTTTTTTTAATCAGATGTTTGAATGACATAATAGTATGGACAATCACTACTTGAAGAGTTGTCTATTTTATACCAGTCTTTTTGTTCTTAAGATTTTAAATCACAAGTTTCAACTTCATTCTCTTTAGTATCATCTAAATTAGGAATTTAATTTGAGAAGAAATACAGTATTAATTTATGGCATATTTGTCAATTCGTTGTAAGTTTGAGTTCCTCATCATGGTCTCCTGTGGGCTGGAATGGTCTTCCAGACCCAGAGTGACTTCTGGTTCAGTCATGGCTACACTGTGTGCACTTTGGAGCAGAGACCACTGCTGCAAAACTCTTAGGCCAAAAAAGAATGGAGGAAATTAGATATATCATCCATAAACTATAAAAACAAGCTATTAGAAAATCAACATTGTATTATAGTAGAATGGGTGGTTAATTAAATTACTGATTAACATCCTAAATCACTGAGCCAATGATGATGAACAATGATATTTCTTTACGGCCAGGTTTAAAGCAACACATACATAGATGCCCAATTAACTATTGTTTCCTTAGCATAATTATTCTCTATTTCCATGTTTTAAAACCCAGGATTGGTGTACTTTTAGGCTGAAATTACAACTCACCCAGAAATAACATGCTGTTTATCTACTGGCTCAAAGCTAGGAAGCTCAAGGAATGAATTCAGAATTAGCTAGAGCAATTTAAGTGTTGCCTCCTTTAACCTCTGTAATGATACTCAGGTCCCAACTATCTAGCGGCTATTTAGCCCTTGTTATCTCTTGCAGCTTCTTTTTACTTTCTCTCCTCCCTCAAGGAAAGCAGGAGGCCCAGGAGGAGTGATAGCTGCCAGCTTTTTGTTAACAAAACCCAAGCTGTTTCTTTTAAAGCAGGCTTCCTAAAACAAAAACAACAGAGAAACACTTTTTCTTTACAGTCTATTCCTAACATAACAAATCAGCTTTTATTAGAGCAAATATGAATGTCTCAAGAATGCACAGAATAAAAATATCATAATTTCATCTGTTTTCACAACTTAAGGTAATGGAATATTAATACCTAGTGATCTCCACTTTATGTCCATTATATGGAATTCATATATACATTATACATCCACAGATATTATAGCTTCATGTCAGTAATGCCTTTTATTATAAATATGTGAGAAAGAGAGAGAAAGAGAGAGAGAAAGAGAGAGAGAGAGGAGAGGACGTCAGGGCCACAGGGAATGAGAGACTGAGCAGTTCAAATGCTACTAGAAATAAATGGTGTAAATAGCAAAATAGCACTGGAACCCTGAAATTTCGTTATTATTCTTATATTGAACTCAACCAAAAAGGTCGTTTGTAACTGGAATTGTAGTCTTGACCCTGCAGAATGCACAAATAAGCTTAGTCAGTTTCATTTTGTGCCCACTGTCCAAATTTTCTTTAACCACTGTTAAAGCACAGTCCACTGTCTTTTTTTAAAAAATCTATTTGTAGCTCATTGATTTTATTTCATGTGCTCAAATCAACCACTTTAATTTTAGAGTAACTTAATGGGCATTTTATTTACTCAGTTCTCTTTAGAGTTAATTCTCACCATGTAGGCTGATGAACATCATTCATTAAGTAACACAGATTCTGTTCATGTAGTCACACATATTCTGTCATAACCATGAATCACCTATGATATTGCCCCATCTACTGTATTGCAGGAAAAACAGAGGTTTCTGACGGATGTTCTGCATGAAGTGATGCTGCTTGACGGCTTGGCCAGTTCGCATCCAGTATCACAGGAAGTGCTGCAGGCAACAGATATTGACAGGGTATTTGACTGGATCGCTTATAAAAAGGTGGGAATAGATAAGACCCAAGTGCCAATTGGATATTTCACCAGATGTGTTATATTCTTCTCTTCTTCCTGGTTGATAGAAATTGACTGTGAACTAGAAAACATAGTTACTAGGTTTGTGCCCTTTTATGAATTAGGACTTTGCTTTATAAGTCAGTAAAATGGAGATGAATGTTTGCCAAATAATGCATAGAAATATTGGGAGTATTAATGAATAAATGTTTGGAGACTCAATATGAAATTGTTGTACAAATGGACTTATTCAAGTGTCAGTTTAGTTATTAATCAGAAAACTGGCCTATATAGTGACGTTATTTTTCATGAATGGTCCTTCAATACTTATTTTGATTGGCTGATGCAAACAGCTATATAGACAGTGGCATGACATGTATTTTATAAAGATTGTTTAAGGGAGATTTGGAGGATTCCACATGTTTCCTGGATTCCAAGCATAATAAATGAAAATTTAAAGACTAGACTTTGAATGGCAGAGATTTTAGACCAATCACCAGACATAAATGTAAGATACACTATGAATTTATTCCCACTGTTGCTTGGATTAGTATTTTCCCTTGTAGCTTGTACACTCAGTGTCTAACACTTAGTAGTCATTTAATGATTATTAAAATAGTGTTAAAATAGTGTTTATCATTGGTATAGTGTAGATTAAATTGCATTTATGCGATTTATATCTACTTTATTGATTTAATAATATTTTAAATTTTTTAAAATGTTACTAATATTTTTTCTTAAAAGCAAGATATTCCTAATTATAACTAGAGGTCAAATAATAATTCATCAGAATTCTTTGGTATAGTAATTTAGATACAGGGGTTTGCATTCAAGAAATGACTATCTTAATGATTATTAGTGAATACTGTATGCTATAATATGGAAAAATACAAATTATGTTAGAAAATATCTTTTCAAGTCACTGATCATCACATTGGCTCAAAAAAGGTGTTTCTGATGTTTTATGAAAATAACTGGAAGTGTAGAACACTTAAATATATATTAATATACTTAAGTAACTGAATAAATATTTAAAATATAAATTAACATTTATATATGAGGTTTTTGGCTAGATTTTGTTGGATGCACATTCAGTTCCTTAAACTGTATTTACCATTGAGATATAATGCAGAAAATAATTTATTAAGATTCTTGGGATGAATTTAGAGATATGTCTATAGTTATTTCCCATCTACCACCAACTCCAAGATGATTTGTAAATAGCAACTTACTTCAGGATGAATAATATCAGGAAATATTATTTTGAGTAAATATGTTATAGATGTGCTTTTACTCATAAATAATACCTTTTCCAACTTCATTGTATTTGAATAATTTCAAATTTACTCAAGAACATTAAGATTCAAAACAGTAAGAAAATAAAGACACAGTAATTATTATTTCACCCTCCTATAATTTGGTGCTAAGGCTTGCCATTTTACTAATGCAGTTCTTAGGACCACCATTATAAAGGATACTGGCTGACTTGTCTCTAGCATGTATTTTTTTAAGCTGTGTCAAAAAGTAATTGACAAATATAATTATATATATTTAAGGTGTACAATGTGATGATTTGATATACATATACATTATAGAATGATTACTGAGGTCAAGATAATTAATACATTCATCACCTCACATAGCTAACTTTTCTGTTGTGGTGAGAATGCCCAAGATCTACTCTCAGCAACTTTCAAGTATTTGATACTATATTATTAACTGTAGTCACCACAATATACATCAGATCATCAGAACTTCTTACTAAAAAGAAGATATATATTTCTCATATATCCTAAAAATTTGTACTTTTGACCTATATCACCCCCACTTCCCTCTTTCCCTAGCCTTGGCAACCATGATTCTATTCTGTTTCTATGAAATTGGCTTTAAAAAAAATTCCACATAGAATCAATGCTACACAACATTTGTCTTTGTCTGTCTGAGTTATTTTACTTAGCATAATGGTCTCCAGGTTAATTCATGTTGCTGTAAATGGCAGGATTTCCCTTTTTCTATGGCTGAAAAATATTCCATTATATGTGTGTATGTGTGTGTGTGTGTGTGTGTGTATACATTTTCTATATCCATTCATTCATTGAAAGACATTTAGATTGTTTTCATATTATGCCTATTGTGAATAAATGCTAAAAGCAGCAGAGTTTGTAGATATATTTTTTAAGGTACTAATTTCATTTCCATTGGATATATACCCAAAAGTAGGATTGCTAGATCATTTGGTAGTTCTATTTTTAATTTTACTTTTTTATTTAAATTTTTTATTGTTGTTCAATTACAGTTGACCACCTTTTTCCCACACTATTCTCTCCTGCCCTGCCCACCCCATCTCTCCCATATTCAATCTTCCCTCTGTTGTCCTTGTTTATGGGTCCTTTATACATGTTCCTTGACTTGACCCTTCTATTTTTAATTTCTTGAAGAACTTCCATATTGCTTTCCATAATGACTAACAATTTACACTCCCAGCCTCACTGTATATATAAGGGTTCTCTCTCTTTTATATTCTTGCTAACATGTATTATCTCTTGTTTTTTTCATAATAGCCATTCTAAGGTATAAGTTGATAGCTCATTTTGGTTTTGATTTGCATTATCCTAATGATTAGGGATGTTGAGCCTCTTTTCATATACCTATTGGCCATTTATATGTCTTGTTTAGGAAAAAATGTCTATTCAGGTCCTTTACCCATTTTTAATTGGATTATTTGTTATTTTGCTATTGAGTGTATGAGTTCTTTATACATTTTGGATTTTAACCCTATATCAGATATATGGTTTGCAAATGTCTTCTTCCATTCTGTAGTTTGCCTTTTAAGTTTATTGATTGTTTCTTTTGCTGTGCAAAAAAGCTCTTTAGTTTGATGTAGTCCCATTTGTTTATTTTAGCTTTTGTTACCTGTGCTTTTGGTATCTTATCTAAGTAATCATTGCCAAGACCAATATCAAGGATATTTTCTCCTTGTTTTCTTCTGGGAGTTGTATGCTTTCAGGCTTACACTTAAATCTGATTGATTTTAAGTTAATTTTTTGAGTAATATATAATAGTAGTCCAGTTTAATTATTTTGCATGTGGTTTTTACTTTCTGTTTTTACAACACCATTTATTGAAGAGATTATCTTTTCTCCATGTGTGTTCTTAGTGCTTTTGTCAAAACTTAGTTGACCATATATCCATTTATGTGTTGATTAATATGTGGGCTCTTTAGTCCATTTCATGTCCTATGTACCTGTTTTTTTTTTTCCTAGTACTATTATGTTTTGATTACAGTATCCTTGTAATATAGCTTAAAATTAAGAAGTGTGATGCCTTCAGTTTTGCTTTTTTTTTCTCCTTTTCTCAAGATTGCTTTGGACCTTTTCTGCTTCCATACAAATTTTAGAATAAATTTAAAAAATGCCATTGAAATTTTGATAGACATTACATTGAATCTGTGGATCACTGCATTGTTGGATATTTTAACAATATTAATTCATCTAATTAAAAAAATAGGCATCTTTCCATTTATTTGTGTCTTATTCAATTTCTTTTTTCAGTGTCTTATGGTTCTCAGTTAACAAGTCTTTTACTTCCTTGGTTAAATTTATTCCTAAGTATTGCTTTTGATAATATTATAAATAAGATTATTTTCTTAATTTCCCTTTCATATAGTTCATTGTTAGTGTGTAAAAACAACTGATTTACTTATTGATTTTGTGTTCTTCAATTTTACTCAACTGATGATTTATAAGTGTTAACAGTTTTTTTTTTTTTCTTTTTTGCTCATTTGCTATGGCTAAGACTTCCAGTACTATGCTGAATAGAAATGGCAAGACAGGGCATCCTTTTTTTATTTCTGATCTTGGAAGATCTTTTAACTTTTCACCATTGAGTATGATATTAGCTGTGAGTTTTGTCTTCAGGTATGGCCAAGTATCTTTATGCTGTAAGTACCAATGAAAATACTGTCCTCACTACATATTTTTAAGTGATAATAGGATCTACTCATTTCCAATGAAGACTTCTCAGGAAAAAAATTTCTTTTTTTGAACAGCTATAGTGAAATATAATTAAAATATGATAAATTACACATGTTTAAAAGGTATAACTTTTTATGTTTGATAGCACAGTGAAAATATCACTTTACTCAAGTTAATGAATATATTCATTAGAAATTTGTTCAAAATTCTTTATAATCCCCCTTTCCATCCCTCTTCACTCCTCCATTGATTAATTTTTTCACTATAGATTAAATTGCATTATCTAGAGTTTTATATAAATGGAATCACACAGTATGCACTCTTTTTGTCTGTCTTCTTTTACTGCAACATTCATGTGTTAGTATATATGGATATAATATAATTTGTTTATTCACCTGAATATTTTGGTTGTTTCCAGTTTTTACTATCACAAACAAACTTGCTATAAAAATTTGTGTAGAGATCTTTGTATGTGTATTTGTTTTATTTCTCTTGGGTAAATACCTATAAGTGAAATGTTGAGATGATATAATAGGTATGTTTAATGTTTTGAGACTACTGAGTGAACTGTTTTCCGAAGTAGTTGTACCATTGTATCATGGTACACTCCCACCGACAGTGTATCAGGGTTCTACTTTCTCCACATCTTCCCCAACACAAACTCGGTATAATTAATTCCTTTATTTTAGATATTCTGAGGTATCTTATTGCAGTTTTAATATCATTCCCCTAATGGCTAATGATATTGACCATTTTTTAACTTGCATATTGCCCCTATGTCTTCCTTGGTGAAGAGTCTATTCAAATGTTTTTCTCATTTTTATAAAAATATTGGGCTGTTTGTATTCTTATTATGGAGTTGTGAGGGTTCTTTCTATACTCTGCATACAGTTTCTTTATTAGATATATGATATGCAAATATTATTTTACCAAATATTGTCCTGCCTCTCATTTTAATAAGTGTCTTTCTAAAAGAAAGGTGTTAAGCATATTTTATTATTTTTTAAATGATAGT